CAGCCCATCCCCCAACAGCCGCTCATTACTAGTCTGGCCGACTGGGACACCCGCCACAAGGGCCAGGGCATGACTGGGAGGGCATACACCGATTGGCAGGCCTTCCATGCTGATCTTGGGAGGATCTGGACCGAAGAGAGAGATCAGAACGTCCTCCAAGATGTCCCGGTGGATCCCTTCCTGCAGCCGGCAGACGGGTACATTGATTGGTATCACAGTAGGACTGTGAGACTACTCAATGACCCCAACAACTATGCGGCGATCTCACAGGACGGCGGGTTTCAACCATATGCCGACCGGGAGAAGTGTCAGGTAACTGTCTTCAATGAAGTAATTATTATTATTATTATTATTATTATTATTATTATTATTATTTTTAATATTTGATAGTTATTTGAATTTAATTTTGCAGTTTTCGGGTACGGAGGTGGCGTATAACGTGCTAACGAACATTGACGACATTGATACGCTACCTCCCCGAGCGCAGTCACAGTTCCAACAAGCCCAGGAACTTCTGTACGCTTCTCTGACTGTTGGGGGTCAGTCGGTCACACAAGGGGCGTCGTCGGAGCAAATTCTATCTCAAGATGAGTACGCCCCACCCCAGCATACACATTCTCAACGGGCGAGGCATAGACCGGCGCCCCACATTGGTGGAGGGAGAAGACGCCGTGACCACGAAGAAGGTGAGATTTTTTTTTAAATACAAATATATATATTTTTTTTGTTTCTTTTTATTTATTTGTCCGGTCGAATTATTGATTTTTTACAAAAATTAATTAATTAGATGGACAAGAAGAAGAAGAACCAACCACGCCTGGACCGACCACAGGATCGTCTTCTTTGCCACCGGGGCCTCGGAGAGGGTCCCGAAACCGCAAGACTAGGAAACCATATACTCCTAGCTAGTTAGTTTGTTTTTGTATTTTGTGATTTTGTGGACATATTTTTTTTTTTTTGTATTGGATTTTCAGATATTTATTTTTGATGGTTTTGGATATATATTTTGTGGTTCACTTTTTTTTTTTGTCGGTACATATGGTTGTCTTTTTCTATATAGTGTTTCATATATGTATACATGTTAAATTTTATCATTTGACGAATGAATTGATATTAAAATGATATTATTTATTGTTCAAAATGTTATATTGAAATTTATAAAAAATCTTAATATTGAAGGATAAGAATAAAAAATTCAGTTAAAATAAACGCAACGCGATCGCTGATAAACGAGTTCGTGAACATAATCGAGCCTTAAACAAATTAAAAAAAAATAAATACATAAAAACGGATTCTTAGAATCCGTTTTACTTAAAAAAAAAATCAAATAACAAAAACGGATTGCGAAAATCCGTTTTTAAAACAAACTCGGATTTAATTAAGGTTAATCACTTAATTAAATAAAAACTCACTTAATTAACGAAAAACGAATTATCAAAATCCGTTTTTCTTTCGGGATTAAGTAAAAACGGATTCTGAAAATCCGTTTTTCCCTAAAAAACGGATTTTCAGAATCCGGCTGTTTTACTTTTTTCCACATTTTATTTTTTTTTTATTTTTTTCCATATATTTTTGTTTTTCTTATATAAATAAATGATTCATTTTAAACATCATTTAAAACTTTAAAAAAATATATATCTTTTATTTTTAAAAATTTTTAAAATATAAAAATTTTGAATGAGCTGGATCGATGGAATACAACTGTTGCAAGACAATTAAAGCAATATTTATGTCTTCCACCTTTAATGAGCTGGATGGATGGAATGCAATTGTTGCAAGACAATTAAAGCAATTTTTATATCTTCCACCTTTTTCAGGTTATTTGAACGAAGTTGATGAGGTGGATGGATGAATAGAACTTAGGATTTTTCATATAAACCACTGACCCCGCACCACCTGCCATTGAAATTTTCATAATTTTTAACTCAGATGTTTGTCATCGTTTAATTAAATATTCATTTATTAATTATTAAAATCTAATTATTGGTGGAGTTAGTACCATCCCATACTAATACACACTAATAAATCTCCAAATCATCGATCTTTAAAAGATTTTTAAATATTAGGTCACCTGATTCTCGACCTAGAAGTCGTTCTCCCAATGCGGTGCTCTGGTCGAAGGGTCTTCTCCAACAATTAGCGAATAATTGATACTTGATTTGTGTTGTAGTTGTTTATATATGGGATGTCGTTCCATTATTTCTCCCAACATCACTAACTTATCTTCTCCTCCTTAAATTTTTTATCCTCTTTTTACTCCTTTTCATCTCCAAAACAAGATACATGCCTCAACTTTTCTTTTAAACAAAACTTAACCACTCTCACAAATTCCAAATTTCAAGAATAACCATATCTTTGAATTTCGGATCCAAGGAGGTCCGATTTGGTGGAGCTATAATCAACAGCTCGACATGCGAGGCTCGAAATAAAGTAATAAAAATGATCGTGATAAAAGAAAGAAAAATATTCAAACATCTGGTATGGTGAATTGATTCGAATAAGGAACGAAATTAATAATCTGATTTATGATAGAGGGAATCGTCTATAAAACGCAACTATAGAGAATACTCTCGTCATATTACAAATCGAGCTCTAGATGGCAGAGACTCGTGCTGATAACGTGTTATAAAAATAGAAAGAATGTATTCTATTGGTACGATTTTCATTATAACTTAATCCCCTATTTATAGGAAAACTTATGATGACACAGTCGTAATAATACAATTAAATCAAAGACAAAATCGTCATTCATATATATTATATAACAAAATATTATTTTTATACCATTTGATATACCTACTAGTATGAGTCCCGTGCAGTGCACGGGTAAGAGATATTTATTAATATTTATAGTTAAAAATTCTTATTAAATTTTACCAAAAAAAAATTCTTATTAAATAATATTTATAAATTTAAAATATGGAATCAATACGTAATACAATTTACTTATATTAATTTATTGAAAGTGTTATATAAAGTTTAAATTGTGCAAAATTACATAAAAATGTCTATTTAAAATTAGTATACAACCCGTGTGGTGCACATAACTGATAATAAATTACATTATATTCGTTTCAAAATAAGTACCATTTCAAAATTTTGATTCAGAAAATCAATTTGACTATATGTGATTCCATAAAATATTTATTTTGGTAAAATGTTATCATATATTTAACAGTCTATGTGAATAATTAAGTATAAATATAAAATTTATATTGTTCCATTACTTCAAATAATTTATTATTGTATAAACTATTAAAATAAAAAATTAAGTAGTTGAGTAATTTATTAAATTATAAATAATTGACTATTTCGTTTACGTCCAAGTTAATATTGACCCGTAAGTTATATAATTGACTATTTCGTTTACATCCAAATAAATATTGACCCGTAAGTTATGAATAATTATTTTTTATTTTTAAATTTAAATAAAAATCTTTTTATTTTTTTGTAATATATTATATACTAAATTTAAACCATGTAACTAATAAAGGTAATAGCTGCAAGTTTTGTCAATATATTATATTTCAAATTTAAATCATGCAACTAATAAATGCAATAGCCGCAATATCTGACCAAAATGATTATGTACATTAATTTAGGCAGGATTTTTTCAAATTTTGACAAAAAATATTACTCAAATAGTTTAGGTGGGAAACCAAATGTTATTTTACCTCTTTTTAATAAAAAGAGATTTAGATTAAATTAAGTTTATACGTGTGGAGTGAAAAACAATAAACATAAGTAAAAAGATCTCTATATGATTTGTATAATGGTGAACCGTTGGCTTTTTATTTATATGTATATAAAAAGATGTACATTCCAAATAATTAAGTTTAGTTATCGCGAAGTGGACTTCATCGTTTTTAGGGTAGATTTATTATATTTATATGGATAATATATTCAGCATAATTGTATTTTTAAAGATAATAAATCGATGAAAACATAATATGGAATATATACCTTTAACATTAGTCTCGACCAATTTGATTACTTTATCTGTATAACTTTGAAATGAACTCTTTACAATGTATTTGTTTTTTTTTAATTATTATTTAAGTTGTATATATTGCATAACTATATGTTAAACAAATAATATTTTTCTATTGAAATATGCGATTTATATATATGTATATAAAAACTTATAAATTAATTTTTCAATAAAGATTAAATTTTGTATTTTTATTTTTTATTATAGCATTCCCATTTAAAAAATTGTTATCATGATTAGTGTAAAAAGTTTAACAAAATAATTGTCACCTGTAAAAAGATTAATAAAAAAAGAAGGTTTTCATGATAATGGATTTGTATATATCTAAATCATCTTCTCCTGCAATACCGCAACATCCGTCCGCAGAAACGTGTTCATAAGAGAAGAATTAACTCAAAAACTGAATTTAACCAAATAAATTACAAACCCATTTCCTTTTTTCACGGCTAATTATCTTAAAGAATTACTCATTTGATGGATGATAATGATACCATAATTTAAACTCGGCTTGATTATTAAAAAAACAGGAAATAAAAAACAGATCGGTAGACATATGAAAATGTGATTTGTAGATAGGTGAGCTTAGTCAAACAAAATCTTTTATATATATATATATATATACAAATGAAATCCAAATCCCAAAAAAACTGAAAACGTGCATGCATGGAATAAAAACAATTAAAATACCTGCATGAAAAAAAAATCAAATTAAACTTTAGGGGAGAAAAACAGTTTTTAAGCGGGAAAGAATGACTAAAGAAGCGGGAAATGAAATAATTTTTCAAAGTTTTTCAAATAGTTTTTCTTCTCCATATTATATAGTAATAGATAACATTATTTTATAACAATAGGACATTTTATATTTTTTGTTTCATTTCATTCACCATCTAAAACAATTATAAAAATAAAATTTCTGCACAGTACTGGGACCAATTAATAAGACAAGGAAAACTATGAATGATCTAATTATTTACCATATAAAATAAAAATAAAAATTAAGTATAAGACAAAATTTCCTAGTCACCAAGTGGTCATGCGATGATAATTTATAACTATATATAACTGTACCTTGGGCACTTCACAATATCATCATCTAGCAAATAATTAATTCTCTTTANAAGAAAAAAAAGAAAAAAATGGCTGCAGCGGGTATGCTTGATCCCCCTTCAAGCTGGCCAAACGGCCGCCCGCCCATTGGGTTTTGCACCAAAAGCAAGTGGGGCGATACTTTCTCCTCCTTTGCTTTGGACAATCAGGTATATATGATCATGTACAATTATACATGACAATATTAGGATTACCTAAATGCATATTTCTATACACGTATGTGCAGGTTCAAGAGAAATATGCGGAAGCCATTGCAGAACTCAAAGACGAAGCAAGAGGCATGCTGATACAGGCTGCAGAAGGGAAAACAATCAGCGAGAGGTTACAACTAATTGACACACTCGAACGTTCGGGAGTCGGATATCACTTTGAACAAGAGATTGAGGAGCAACTTCAAGATATCTTGACCAAGTTTGATTCGGAACATGAAGACTACGACTTGTTCACTACTGCACTTTGGTTTCTGTCTGTTGAGGCAACATCGCCGTTATGTCTCTTCTAGTAAGTTAACTTTAATCCTCCGATTCGCATTTAGTGAGTGCAGAACAATAAACAACGTGGGGCACTCCGAATGTGAAATTTTATTATATATTCTTCTTACTTGGATGACGATTAGGACAATGAGTATCGGTACTTTTATCCAACTAGTAAGATGCATCGTGGACTCCATACTGTTTGTTTAATTTGATTAGAATTAGCTATTTAATTTGATTTGATTTTAGACATTGTTTTTATACATTGGAATGATATTTTTTTTAACAAATATATAACATAACACCTTCAATTTAAATTAATTGCCTTTGTGCAAAATTATGCCGTTCTATATATGTGGCTTTATTGGATTTACAAAATGAAATATCATTTTGAATTTTCCCATGTAGATTAAATAGAAAAATTGCTCCGTTTAATGAGTTGTTGGGTTACTCCTTCGGGAACATTATTTAGGCGACAAAGAGGCTTGCTTTCTAAATGTACTAGTATCTGATCATGTGCGCTTGCACATATTTTTAAATTTTATAAGTTATATCTAAGTATATAATATTAAATTATAAGTTAGATAACAATATCACATTTTTTTTTTAAAAAAAAAAATTGTCAGTAGTAAAAGTGAACATTATAAAAGTATTCGACTTAATCACTGTATTGATTGCATAAAATGAAAGAGATAATGTAATTTTTATAAATTTGAGGGATTATGATCTATTAATTATCTTAAAAATTATTTTTATTATTATCAATGAAATTTTAAGAGGTTTGGTTATACCACTAAAGTCAATTAGCTTATTAAAAATGCTTAAAAGAAACAAATAATTTAAGAAAAAATTGAATTTTATTTTTTTTACTTATTGAACTTCCATATATCATTTAGTGGATTATAATAGGTTAGTTTTAATAATAACTATTATATAATAGAATAATTAAAGACATGATTACTCTTTAATTAATCTTTCTGTTAAAAAAGTTAATTGATTAAGTTTCAGTTAGTTTAAAAACAATTATTGGCTTGTAATAGAAAAAGGGAAAAAATCCAAATAATTTTATTAAATTTCCTTTCAATAATTATATATATATATATATATATATATTAAATATTCATTGATTAGTGAGTTGTTTAAGTGTTAATTAAAAAATAATAAACTAATATTCTTTGTAAATGTCTTTTAGAGGGAAAACAAATAAGGTTTCATTAATTTCTTTGTCACCATTTATATGTATATAGATGTTTAACATATTTTTATTAAATGAACTCATATTTTTGTTAAATGTTGGCTGGAATAAAATTTATTACTTTTCCAGCAATTATATATATATATATAGGGGATGGTTCCAATAGGTCCCCCTCTTAAAATGTGGACGTGAGACCCAATCTCAACCGTTGAATCTGCCTTT